ACCAAAGCATTCTTTTTAACTTTGCAGTTCTGAAAAGTGCTGAAAATTGTGCCTGATTGGGTTATTTGTTTCTAAGTATTTCAAAGCATGCCTAATGTTGTTTGCTTGCCTTACCATACTTATGTATGATTATCATGAGCTATATTTCCTCTCTTATGTTTGCCTCGTGCTCGTTTATATTACCGAATATGACTAACTCACTTATCAAAATCTCTAACAAACGGTAAATGAAAAGGGGTTGGTAATGGGTGACGTTCACACTAGTGTTTCAAAATGATTTATCTAACATACATATGAATGAGAAGAATTGTGGTGGAATTAAAATCCAATGAGTTAACTCTTAAGCAAATGGTCTAGGCGAAACCCTAGGATGGCACGAATGTATTCAGACTCTATGTAGTGGTTTCAGGGTGTGAACGAGCCCTTTGGTATGGTATGTGCAGGGTGTAAGCAAGCCATAGACGCGATTTGGTATGGTATGTGAAGGGTATAAGCGAGCCCTAGGCATGATTTGGGTATAAGCGTGCCCTAGGCACGATTTGGGTATAAGCAGGCCCACTTGTTTTGCTTTCCCTTTTGAGGTCCATCGGTATCCTTTCCCGGTATATAACCGGTGTGGGCATAAGTGGTAAGGTTTGCAAAGCAGCAAACTGGAGAGTTCTGAATAGTTCGGTGTCCAATCCTTGTGGTTAGGAGTGTAACGCCCCGAAATAATTACAATAATCCATCCACAATATCAATAAACAACAACAACGATAAAGTAATTATCTTCCATTATATCCAAATGAGTTTACGAAAGAGAAACATATGCGGTATACATTGATAATGCCAGGCCCTAAATCTATAGCATATGTTGTGAACTAAAGAAAATAATAGAAGTTAAACAGATAAGAAATGCCCTAAGGGCTTACAGCTTCCAAGCCAATGCTTGGTTATAACAAAAGTGGATTTAGATCCAATACAATTTAAAGCCCTTGGCTTGTACAAAATAAATATGACAAGTACACAAAATGAAGTTCTTGCTCCAAGTCATCCTAAGCTGTTACCTTGGCGAAGGTATATCATCAGCACCTGAAATGTTTTTCCCACATAGGGTGAGCTAAAGCTCAGTAGAGATAATCCAACACAGTATATGAATTTTAACAAAGCTATAAGGTAAATGCATATACAATTGTGCCAAAACATTTTACATCTCTTTCCAAAATCATGCAATGCTAAATTAATATCATGGTTCATAAATCATTTCATTTACAATAGAAAATAGGGCAATGAATCACACTCTAGGAATTTCAAAACAATACAACATTTCCCAAAAATTTCATTCAAAGGAAACCGTAAACCGGACCCATGTAAACGTAGGCTATACAAGCACTACTATTACCATTTCACAGAAATTTCATCTGCGGGATCGACACCCATGTATATGCGCGATTTTCGGGACTTTCGCCTTGGACGCCAACTTATTTGATGTAACAACAATTGCTTCCCAGATTCACTCACATTCTCAAAACGGTAACATTTCCAATGTATAAGTGTGAGATAATGCTCAATGCAAATGAATGAGAAAATAGTTTCAATTCTCTTAATTCACATGCAATTTCTACAACAATCATAGTTATCCTCCACTGATAGCCCAAAACAGATATTTCTAAATAGATAATATATAGTCCATAAGGATAGACTTTCCAAATTTCAAGAGGTGAGTGATAATACATATTCAACTTTACCATTTTCATCAATATTAATCCAACTTCATAATCTCAACATCAATTTTATAATTTATATAGAATCAACATTTGAGGCATTTAGGGCAAAATTCCTTTCCTTTCCAAAATCAATCCCAAAGATCAAAATCAACCATTCTTTCCGAACTCAACATTATTTTCCATATCAAAATCCATTTCAAGGTTTTATTTGAAAAACCCCTCTTTTGATTTTACCTAAAACCCTGGATTATTCCAAATCTCCCAAAAATCTCAATATTGTTTAAGAATAGCAAATAACTAAGTTAAAACTCATAAAAAGCGTGAAAAGTATCCCAACCTCAAGCTTAGAAGATGATTGAAGGAGGGATGGAAACTCAAAGATGCCGAAAATTAACTTTGCTCCGATTAGAACGAAGCCCTCATCAAGCTTTACCTTTTTAACAAAGGGACACGAGTGAAAGGATTGACGGATCTATGTATTCAAGGGAAATAGATGAGTTTTAGAGAGATATTAGGATTTTGAATGTTTAGAGAGAGAGAGAGAGAGAGAGATGAAAAAGTGACTCAAAATGGGTTGTTCACGAATTGATGTATACACAGTTCGCTCGAGCGTAAGATGTGTTGCTCGAGTGACCAGACACAACAAGTTTCACCACTTGAGCGCAAGAAGCTTTGCTCGAGTGCAGAACACACACTCTTAGTAGGTTTGTTGACAGAGGTTGTCGCTCAAACGCAAGAAGCTTCGTTCAAGTAAAGAATACAAACTCTTAATAGTTTTGCAGACCTGCAAAAGTACTAAAGGTTCACAAAGACTGCTCAAGCGTAATAAGTGGCGCTCAAGCGAAGGAACAAAAATCTGGGCAACGAAAGTTTGAAAAACAAGCTACCGACCTGTTCCAAACGTAATCAACACAACCCAAAAGCCAAACTCAAAGAGATTTAAGTGGAAACAAGACATGGATAACTATATATGACAATGAAACCCGAATCCAAAATATCAAACGGGTGGGGTCTAAACCAGGATCGCTATAGAAAGGAAGGATCTCTTTGGGGGATTCTAGATGTCTAGTCTAACTACTAATTCAGAGAACCTTATTATAGTATTGTATTGTGTGTTACTCGATTTGTTCTGTATATGGTTGATTAGTTAATTAAAGGTAGAAGGGTGTATACATTTTTACTGGACATTCCAAGCTCATGGCGTGTCATGCCAAGTAAAGAAGCAGTTTACAATGGTGAAGGTTATTTTGAAGGCAAACAAAATAAAGTGTTGGACCCGTGGTTCATTTGAAGACTTAGACTAGTTGGTTTTTTTTTTCTTTTTTTTCTTTTGAATTTTGGTTTGGCAATGTTTTGTAATCCTGTAATGGAACAGAAACGAATTATCTGTGATATTAACTCTGGTTATATATGTGTATTAAGATGTTTTGGTTATCTATCCTGCTTGTGTTGTATTATTGTACTTGTTTGACGGTCTTGGATTTCGGGGCATCACAGAAACACATCCAAGAATGGAAAGCATTTATACAACAGAAAATGAAGAAAATCCATCCCCTGAACATAAAGAAGAAATAACAATGAAGAATCTTCAAGAAGAATATGCTCGTTCAGAAAACGAATCAAATCTACCAAAGGAATGGAAGTATGCTCATGGCCACCCTAAAGACCTTATTATAGGTAATGCAGCGGAAGGAATAAAAACTCGTTACTCTATTAGAAATATTTGTGGTAAACTAGCATTTGTTTCGCAAATTGAACCAAATTTTTTTTTAAAAGTTGAAAAAGATGAAAATTGGATTTTAGCTATGCAAGAAGAATTAAATCAGTTTGAAAGAAATAAAGTTTGGTTTTTGACCCTTGACCTAAGGATCATTCAGTTATTGGTACAAAAATGGGTTTTTTGAAATAAAATGGATGAATCCAGAGTTGTTACTAGAAACATAGCTAGATTGGTAGCCCAAAGTTATAATCAAGAAGAGGATATTGATTTTGATGAGACTTTTTGCATCGGTTGCTAGACTTGAAGATATTAGAATGTTACTTGTTTTTGCTTGTTTTAAAGATTTTAAATTGTATCAAATGGATGTTAAAAGTGCTTTCTTAAATGGGTACATTTCGTAGGAAGTTTATGTTGAACAACCTCCCAATTTTGAAAATCATAAATACCCGGATCATGTTTTCAAACTTTCAAAAGCTTTATATGGTTTAAAACAAGCTCTTAGAGTGTGGTATGCAAGATTAAGTAATTTCTTACTTGACAAAGGTTTTCTAGAGGAAAAATTGATACAACATTTTTTATAAAAACCTAAAAAGAAGATATGCTAATTGTTCAAATCTATGCTGGATTATATCAACCAACAACATGACTTAAGATGGTCTCCAGTTATACTAAGATCTAATTAATAGTTTTGAAAAAATGAAAACAAAAAGACTTGTTATTTATTTATTTTTCTCTTCATGAAATATTTCTTTCGCATTGCTTATATAAGAAAGGGTAAATTACACTTACCTCTCCTAAGGTTTGGAGAAAATATAGCAAGCCTTACAATTTTCGCATAATTACACCAACTTCCCTTTTAGTAAATCTAAAGGGACTAATGCAAATGATGTAAAGACAAATAAACAATGTAAAATATACATTTTAATGCAAAAGATATGACAATATTATTTGTTCATGTATATAACTAATAAATTACTAACAAAAATGTGCTAAGTTTTATGTGAATTAAAATCTTAAGGGCACTTGATATAACTATGTCAAACTTGTGAACCTTATTATATTTTATCCAAATCTCAAGGCAGGTCAGTTTTATTTACTCTATAAGAAATTACATTTAATCAGTAGTGCATCAAAACTTACTTTTTTTTTTTGGCAGACAACTTGTCCCCCGGACAATTTCAAACTCAATCACACATCCTACAAAGTCTAGCCTACTGAGTCTTGGGAAAAGTCAAATACTATCCTATATAATATGATGAGATAACAGCAAGAAGATTGTTCGAATTTGAACAAAGCTACATAGCCATGGTGGATGAAAAGTTTGGCATTAGTTAAGATGCAAAGGTTCGAAACAACTTCTGCATAACATTTGGAGAAATAAATGTTGAAAAGTTTCGAATTACATCTTTGTTAACATTCTTAACGTAAATTTTAAACTAGAATCTCCATAGAAAGAAGCATAGTCATCACAAAATATTCCCAGTATAGTAATTATTTCGACACAATATAAGTGATATTAAATTATACTCCAAAATTGATATCATACAAATACAGGGTTTCTTAAGATACCAACATCAATGAACAAGTGAGTATTTTTTTTGAGATCATTCAATGAGTACACCATCAGCCTGAATTACAAAATCACCCAATAAAAACTGAGGAAGGAAAAGAAAGAATGTCAATGTGCAAATACTTTAGGATTTCAATTTACATAAGTACACATGAAACAAAATAGCTCTATTTCATTGCACTAAAACTAAAGTTATATTGAAGAACCATAAAATAGAAATTTCTTTTGCCTCTCTTTGATAAATGAACAGAAACTCAAAACTATGGCTGATGTTCCTACATTGTACCTCTTTCAAAGAACGATCATTTTCTTACGGCCCCAAAAACCACAACTTGTACAATCACAAACTCCTAAGATTGATTCAGGAAAATGAGGTGCAAAAACAGCATGACGTTGCCACTTTATTAGTCTTTGGATGAAATCAACACCACCCACATCAGCCAAACAAGTCTCTTCACACACTATTATATCCTCATTTCACCAAAAAACCAAGCTTGAATTAACATGATAATCCTAAAGTAGGACCAACACGTCTTCCAGATGAATTCAAACAACTCAAATTTCCTTTATTAAAGAAAGATAATGAATTATCTTTCAAGCCCAAAAACCCCTTCTTTCACGATCACAAACTCACAAGACGATTCAGGCAAATGAGGCGCGAAAACAACATGAATTTGCCGCTTTGTTCGTTTTTGGACAAAACCATCATCATCAACCAAACCAGTCTCTTTGCCTAAAACCTCCTCATTTCTGGACAAGAAGAGCCTTGAATTAACGCAATTGGCCCATGAAAGGCCCAAAGCAGGGCAAATCCGTCTCCCAGATGAATACAAACAAGCCAAATTCCCCACCCTAAGCCCATTCAACCCGTCAGAAGAACCCACAAAATCAACCACCTGGTTTGTAACGACAACAGCAAGACCAAACCTATTGGCATATGACTTCAACTTGGTAGAGATGTTGAAAAAAAGAGAAGATCTGCGCTTAAGATCAGAAGGGTTGTTATCAAATTCGGATCTAAACAGGGCTGCAATGGAATCAATGACAATGAGCTTAATGGGTAAATGGGTATTGGGGGGAGGATTGGATAGAAGAGACTCGATCTTGTTGTGCAATAGATCGAGCAGTTGGTGTGCGGAGTGAAGAGGGTGGAGGAAAATGCGGTCACAAGGGTCGTGAGAAGAGAAAAGGGTGGGATGAGAGGAGCGAAAGGAATGGGAAAGTTGTTGGAGGCGGCGGAGAGGGAATGGGAATTCGGAGTGGAGGTAGAGAGAGGAGGAGGAGAGGCCGCCGAGGGAGAGGGGGAGCTGGGCGGAGAGGAGGAGTTGAAGGGAGAATTGGGTTTTGCCACAGCCGCTCTCCGACACCAGCTCCGTGATGGAGTTGCAGGGGATGCCGCCGCGGAGGAACCGGTCCAGCACCGGACAGCCCACGCTGCACTTCTGGGTTGTCAGGGCTTCTTCTTGTTGTTTCAGTAGATTTTCAGGTCTCATGAGATAGACACACAGAGACACAGACGTTTGCTTATTTTGAGAGCGAGGGTTAGGAAACATTCAAGTGGAAAACTCCGCTGAAATTTTCAAATAGCTGGGCTTAAACTTTTGAAGCCATATCCTTTTTTTAAAAATTTTTTTTTTTAATAAATAAAAATAAAGTTAGGAACATAAACAAATTAGGCCTAAGTTGAAGTAAACCTTATATTGAAATTACAAGTCAAATATAAAAGTTAACTGCTATCATGTTACCTAATTGGATGGGATGTTTGTTGTTAGAGTAAGAGTAGAAGTCGATGCAAGTTAAGATGAAAATGATTGCCCGTAGTAGATCTCTGTTGTGACGAACAAATTAAGTTAGAAGCACAAACAAATGTAACAACAAGTGTACAATAAATGAATGCATGAATATACGTTGAATTTCACCATTTTTTACTTAGGATGCAACCTACTCTTGCATGACCTCTGATTGTGCCCCTTCTGCAAACACTTAGTACATGTCACATTGATATTCTTCCTTGATGCCTTGTGTGGATTTCTTGGCTCATCTGCTTGCTTGTTTCTTAACTTCTTTCCTGCTAATTTCTTTGCTTATGGTGGGTTCAATTTTTGGCCACCTTCCTCATATTCATGTGTGTCTGGAACAGGGTGTATCATGAATGCATAAGTATCCAGGTACCTAGACTTGGTGTAATACTCATGCACATAGTCTTCTAGCTGCTCATGATTGATTTGAATGGCACTAATGGCATGGCTACAATGCAAACCAGACAAATCTCATCTCTTGCAACTGCATCTCCTAGTACTTAGGTCCACTATGTACCTCTTCATAAAATGATCAACCTCAAATTCCAGTTGTCCACACTAGGTTGCAAAGCAATTCCTTGATTCCATCTTCAACTTATCTAGTTTGTCATAAATATTAGGACGTATCTAGCCAGTGTATTTCTCCATTCCAGCCTTTTTAATTTTGGATCATTTGCCTCAATTTCCTTTTGATCTATTCGAACGTAGAGATGATTGGTAGCTCTCTAGCCTCCAGAATATAAGAATTGAATGACTCAATCAAATTGTTGACAAGGATGTCACACTTGCTTCTTGAGAAAAAAATGTGACATTGCCCATAAGGTAGGGTCAGTCTCCCTCAACCACTTCATAGCTATCTTCCTATTTCCCATCTTAGGATTAGCTTCTTCAATCTTCTTCATCCAGGAATTGAATTCATTCACATTTCCTGTTGATACCGCTTTCCAGAATAGGTCTTTCAACACACAACCACTGTACTTTGCCTTAAAGTTGTTGTACATATGTCTTAGGTAGTATCTATGATCTGTAGTAGGGTATAATTGTCACGACCCAAACCCGTCCCTAAAAGTTTGGTTCATGACTGGCTCGTACGTAGGCCTCAAACAAAATTTAGAATAATATTTAAACACATAGGGGGCCTTAAGCGGAAGCAATATCAATAAAAGACAACATCCATTGAGCTTGTGCATACATGATGATTTAATTAGATTCAAGCATTTAAATACATTCCCAGAGTTACACATACAATCACAGAGTTTATATAGATCTCACACATACTTACATAAGACTTAATAATTTATACGACTCTCAACACAAATTAAGGCCTCAACACGGAGGCGTACCCCAAGCAGCTTGGCAGATAAGTAGACCTCAATACCATTCTAGTGTCAATCTCCGATGGTTCACCTACATAAATATACATAAAAACGGAGTGAGCAAGGCTCAGTGAATAATAACAATGTAAGGAGGTGAGTTAAACGGGTATAGGCTTAAGGAATGTAAACATGCATATCAAACCATACACAGATCTTATTCATAATCATATTTTAAAATGGCCTCAGACCCACGCGTAACACAGAACGGCCTCAGGCCCATATATAATACAGAGCGGCTATAAGCCCAGATATGATACAGGACGGCTATACGCCCAGATATAATACAGATCGGTTGTAAGCCTAGATATAAGACAGAACGACTGTAAGCCCAGATATAACACAAATCGGCTGTAAGCCCAGATATAACACAGAATGGCTGTAAGCCCAGATATAATACAGATCGACTTTATACCCAGATGTGATACAGAACAGCTCTAAGCCCACAAATAATACAGAACGGCCTTATAAGCCCAGTTATCAACAGATTGGCCTCGAGCCCATCATTAGCAAAACAGAATGATTCCAGATACACAAAGATATCATAGTTACATAATACACATATGTTCCATTTGTTCATCATAAATTCAGATAGTTAACTTGCAGATATTAGAACGTCAGTATTAACTATTAACAGTAAGCAAAACGTACTGCTACAGTACTATTACTCAATAGTGCACAAAGATTTTCCCATGGTTTATTACAAGTCGACATAGTTGTCTTGTGGACAACAGAACATTAATAGTAACTATTAACAGAAGGCAAAAATATCACTGCATTAATAGGGACAGAACAATTCACATCATAACGACCTCGAGCCCATGTCTATTACTAGGGACAGAACGACCTTAGGTCCATATCAATGCCATTATTCAAGCATATCGATTAATTGAATCAAAGCACAATATCAATGGAATAGGCCATTGACAAATAACAGTACATAAATCATAATCACAGGAAGTAAGTGAAACATTTCGTACACTACTATTACTCACAGTGATCGGCTCCTGGTAGTAATGGGTGATGTCTTCGTCTCGACCTACAAGCACAATGCACAACACATAATATGAGATTATAATCGATCCTTTACTTATTCTCTTTGATCCTTCAATCCATTAGCCATGGTGGTACCAAGCTCATTATTCCTTAATAAGTTATAATCCATGTCTCAGAAAACAGGAGGAATCGATGGGAAATGGTTTTAGGTGAAGAAATGGTACAAAACTAGTTGACAGAAAGTGAACATTCGTCACTAATTTGGGCATAACTATTTCTGTATTTAGAATTTGGGAGTAAGACCACCACCATTGGAAACTAGACTGTCGGGGCTTGATTTTAGGCTCAAGAATCACTCAAAACAGAGTCCGGAGGTAAAAGATATACTTATTCAAAGTTGGCTGAACAGAGCTATCTCCCGCACGTGCAGAAAACAGGGCCGCACGTGCGGCTCTGGACAGTTTGCAGTCCGAAAATGGCTTTTTTTGCTCCAACACTTGGTTTTTCCATTTTTAAGCTTGGTTCTTAACATCAATCACTCAAAAACATGTAAAATTCATCTCTAACATGATAAACTAACATCAATCAAGTGCAATTCCATTTTAAACAAATCAATCCTTGCCTCAAAAATAGAAATTCAAGTCGCATCTTCTATATAATCAAGCTTCTATAATATATACCCCAAAATCATACAAATACATCTTACACATGGTTGATCTTCACACCACAACTTGGTATTCCATGAATCATTCTTAAGATTGAACCCAATTCAAGCAAATTTAAAGAAATCAAGGTTCAATTCCTTGAGTTTAACTCATTTCATTCATAACCCAACACACTTGTTCATTTGCATATTAATTTTCCCCAAATCCATCATTGATTTCATGTAGTAGATGCATTATTTACAAAGATAATAGTTGAAGCCACATACTTTACCTTAATTCCTTGTTTTTCCCCTTTAATCTCTTCAATTTTCCATGCTTCCATGGATGATCCTCTATCCCTCTCTATGTCTCTTTCACGGTTCTCTCTCTCCCTCTCCCTTAGATATTTTATTTGACTTCAAAATGATAAAACCCCCAACTCACATGGCCTATCCATATATGTATATATCACATACTTAAGCTTAACACAAGGGAGAGCCAAACGTGGCCTTACGAATCGCGCAAAATTAAATTTCAATTAAACTTTCCAGATGACTCTAAAAATTAAGATGATCATAAATATGCCCCCTGTTCTGGTTTCTGAAGACTCTAAGGCCTTCAATTTGCAGTACCAGGTTAACCACCCAAACGTACATTAACAAATCAGACAAATTAGATTTTCAATTAAGTTTCCCAAATAGTTCTAAAAATTTCAATTAACACATCCAAGTCCTCAATTGTGATTTCTGAACCAGTAAAGGTCGGTACTTTCAATTTTAAAGTCGTAATTCAACAGATAATTCCCCAATTCGAACAAATATCATTAAATTAAAATGCATTAACCCACAAGAGCATAAAGGCAATTTCTGATATAGATTTTGGGGTAGTTATAATAATTCTGCAAATGTTTCAACTAACCCCTTCTGTCTATCTAATATAAATGTCCACTCCATCTCTTCAACATCCCAATGTCACTTATCAGTTCCTCAAGAAACCAAGACCAAGAGGCTTTACATTCAATCTCAACCAAAGTCACAACAATAGGATACATGTTGTCATTTCCATCTCTCCCAATAGCACTGAGTAACTGCCCTTCAAAAATCCCTTTTAAATGACAACCATCCAGTTCTATTATTGGTCTGCACCTTGCTAGAAATCTATCTTTCTGTGCACCAAGTCTGAAATACATCATTTGAAATGTAGGCTCTGTCTTTTTAGGATCAGTTGTTATTGAAATGTGACTTGATGGATTTTGTCTCAGAACTATAGCTGCATAATCTCTAATCCTGTGATATGGCTCTACCAAATCCCCTACAATGACCTTCCTTGCCTTTCTCTTTGCCCTATAAATTTGAAACCTACTTGCATGCACCATTATCTCTGTCCTTGCTTTTTTCTTGAAAGAAGCTATGTTAATGTCAGGATCATCTCTTACCTCATTTACAAACTTCTTCCCCAAATACTTAGAGTTGGCTTGTTTGTTATTGAAATGTCTCTCACATGTATGTTTTTCCTCTAGAGTTTTGATCTGAAAGGTTGTGGTTCCCCCCAATAGAGGGGCATGCATCCTCCAACTACAATTATGCCTACAAACAGTAATGATCCTAGCACTCTCATTTCCAATGTACCTTATATCATGACCATTGAATACATTGAACTCCCTCAAATACTCTCCAAAAACTTGGGGACTAGGAAACTTCATTCTAACTACAAGTTTAGGATCCTTAATCATCACTTCTTTGTATTTAGGGTATCCATCATCTTCCTCATC